ACTTAGCGTATGTTAAACATTGAGGTGCTGGTGGTGGTTACAGTCTGCTTTGTCGCTTCAGAAATGTCTCAGTTCACACCCATTTAACAGATGTGTTCTGAGTAACAGCTACATGCCAGTTCATATACTAATATGAGCAAAATGCAGTTGCCAGTCTCAAAGATCTCATAGTGAGTGGTGCATGAGCAACAAGATGGTGTCATAGTTTCAAGAAAGAGGAACTCACCCAGAAATACTGGTAAAGAGGGGACTGCTGCAGGCTTCCCAAAATCAATGCCAAGACCAGACGTCACTTGCTAAGAGTGAGAAATGTAACTTCTAGTGTGGCCCACATTGCATTGGCTGGTCAGTGTGTTCTCTCCCTACAGAAAGCTTCTATCTGGAGTCAAATTATTCTCAGAAGGATTATCCATGAGCCTAGCATTGTGGCACAAAAAAATGACTGGACCCTTGTTGCTCTGAAGTCAGACTTGTCTAGACAAACAGAGCACAGCTGAGACATCCTCTTCCTTACAAAGGACGGAAACACCCAGATAGGTCGAGCCACTTTTTGGTTGATTGGATTATCACCTATATAGGAGAGACACTCCCTTCGTTACATTCCAGTCCCAAGGCTATGCCTGGCTCACCTCCAGCATCTCCCCAACATCAATCCCAAGGGTCCTTTGTGAAGAGGTTAACCTCAGGCAATTTAAATTCATTTTCCTCAGGATCAGCTTTGGAGGTCACACACTCCTAGGTCTAGAGCCCCTAAAAACTGAACTCACTTAGGATGTAGGCATCTTCTCTCTAGCACTGTGGGGAGAAGGGTCCTGGGTCTAATACTACCTGCTGTGCTGAATGGGACCTCAAAGCAGCCTGCAGGCATGGAGAGTGGACTCATTTCATGCACTTCAACTTTTTTAGTTAAGACAATCAAGATAAAAAATGTGACTTATTTTCATGCCTTTGTAAGACTTTTCATATAAATAAAAAAGTAGAAAAAGCTATCCTGTCAACTAGATGTCTTGAGGTCTGACTTAGAAGACATCATTCTAAGCCACTGTAACCTAACATTCTAATTTGGAGGCTTGAGGCTGCATTGTTCTGCCCTGAGTTCTCCCAAGACAGGCCTTTTGAGAGCCATGCGGGTGCCCTGGAGTTATGATTATCTGAGTTCGTGCTTACCTTTTCTTCCAGAGTGTAAGGGTCCCTGAGGACAGGGCTACGGCCTCACACGTGCCTATGGTACATGTGGCTATAGCACAAATCTCTACACCACTAGTAGTGGTGTGCTCAGAAAACATTTGGAAATAGCAACCAGTATAAAAAGAGGGAGCAGTTTTAGTTAGGGCAGTTTCCCTCCTCTTTGCTTCTGCACTTTCTTTCTCCCCTGGAATCAAGGTGTGTGGGTTTCAGTCTCACACTACTATTTATTAGCTATGTGACTTTGGACGAGTGGTATTTCCTCTTGGCCTCAATGTTATCATCTGTAAAATGGGACTAATTACAGTATCTGTTTTATAGGGTTGTGAAGACTAAATGAGATAATAAAAATGAAGAAATAGTAAAATGAAATACTGATATAGCACTTACTATAAGCCAGTAATTTTTCTAAATGTTTTACATGTATTAATTTATTTGATCTTAAAGATCTTGACCCATGCAAAGGATCTAAAAATCACTTTTCTACTAATAGCAAATATCCAGTACATGATAAATATAGTTATTATTAGTGTCACTCTCAGCCAATAGTGCAGAAGGAAAAAAAAGCAGGTGATAAACTCATTTCTACTAGGGGGTGTGAATGACTGATGACATGGACCTATCCCTCCCCCTAGAGAATAAAGTGTTTGTATCTAACTGGATATTTTTAATTGTGGCATTTGAGGCCTCAGTGGGAGTTAGAAGGGAAGATATTTAATTTTTTGGGAGGTGAGTTTTAAAGGTCACAATCAGGCAGTCAGTTACCTTTCAGGCATGCTAGGGGAAATAAATATTCTTCACCTGGGAAATTATTTCATAAACATTGCTTCCCTGCCTAACTGATTTAGTATATATTGAAGACCAACAGAATTAAAATCTAGGCAAATGTTTCATAGCATCAAGAAATCCAGTGGAATGGTTTGTCACTTGTTCAACTTTCCAAATTTCTGGGAGGCTGCAAAGGAGGAATGAGATGATCCTAGCCTGGGTTATAAATCTTAGATGCTGCCATCAACCCTCAGATCATAGGCTGTTAGAGAGTGCAGAGCCTTCAGGGATTATCAATCCCAGGGATTCCAGGCAGTTTAAGACATCAATAGGACAATTATGGGAGTTTAGCTTAAGCTTGCCCAATTTTTATTTTGCCACAAAAGTTCGTTGGAGAAGAAAAACCACGATTTAAGAAGGGTTTATGAACTCACACCAACAAGTGCATACACTGTGTCATTTCTTTATCATTCTGATGCAAATCGGAGAAAGGTCACCATACACCAGCACTAGTCCATGGACCAGCATTCAGAAATGCTCTAGGCCAATGCTCACCTCCTGCTTTCTAGAAAGGGTTCCCCAGGCCCAGGGAAATAACCTTGAGGTCATAACTCTGATCTTTCTACTACCAGGCTGCACTTTATCATTGTGTGCCCAGCCACAGTATTTCAGTGGCTTTCTCTTTCCAGGCATGTCTCTCACCTGAGGGACTCTGTAGATGGAGAGCAGCTCAGCCATGGTCTCTGACTTCGGGAAGGTCGTCCCCTCCAACCATGCTCAGGAGAAGTTGCTGGGGGCCACAGGCACCGTTGGGTGTGGGTGGAAGCTGGTTGAACAGCAGGGCCAGGGTGCTCCCCAGAGCCCAGATCCCTGAGATGCAGGAGTCATAAATCTGCAGTCCCACGGTGACTTTGGGCAGGAAGGCTTGGTCCCCTTCTGTCTCAACCACAGCAAAGAGAAGGCTCAGGGCTTTCAGGAAAAGGTGGGCTTTGAAGCTGAGGGACAAGGACAGAGGAAGTTAGATTTGGTCAGTAGCTTTCAAGGGAGCCACAAAAAACAGCCCCAGGGAGTCTCTTCTTGGGAGGCGCAAAGGAGAGGTGGAACTGAATCTAGATGTATATTTGCTTAAAGAGGCATTGGGGGAGTTGAGAATTCTAGAGATTTAGACACACACACACACACACACACACACACACACAGACACACAAACACACACACGCAGATGGACTTAGAGAAAGGCTGCAGTTTTTAAGAGATGGACAAGGAGACACACAAAGTGCCAGGTGGTCAGGCAGACACACACAGACTCACTGTAGTGCAGAGAGGGTGGCAGCAATGGAAGCACGTACACAGCATTGGCTCTGCAAACTCAGGCCGCCACCTGACAGAGGGGCTATGGAGAGAATGTGACACGTAAACAGGAAGACACGTGGACTGGGATAGGTGATTCAGATGCAGAAACAGTCAGATGCACACAGAGACAGGTGTTCTGATGTAGAAGAGCTAGGGACACAGGTGACACAGACACATAGAGAGACTGATAGTCACATAGACAGGCAGACAGACTGGCACAGGCCTAGGCAGACAGGCAGATAGCTGCACAGACAGACAGAGAGGGATGAGTAGATGCAAAAGACACACAGCACAACGCCTTTGACAAAAACTCAGGCAGGAAGAAATAAGACAGACCTGGGGCAGGTGACATAGGAGTCCATCTCCATACTTCCTGGGCATGTTTCTGGAGAGGAGCTGCGGGCTCACAGGCTGAAGTCTGGTTCAAATCCAGTTAAGCCTTGGAAATAGTTCAGCTATTCATGAAAGCTGGGTTTGTGGGCCACGATGCTGACAAGGCTGGGCCCAGGGCTACCTTCTCTGTGAATGTGCTCATGAACATACATCTTGCCACTCATGGCTTTAGTTGCCATGATTTTGAAACCATGCCCAGGCAGAAGCTGCTGCGCTCTGCTGTCCAGCAAATTTGAGGAGTGTTAGCATTGTGCAAAGTGGGGCATTGAGACCAAGAGAGAGAAAAGGCCTTGCTTTCAATTGCTCAGCAGCTCAGAGGAAATTTGGACTAGAACAGAGCCTCTAATGCCCAGGTACGTGTTCCTTCTGCCAGGTCGTGGTGCCTGTGACAGTGTCTTGAAGACCCTCAGCCCAGTGGGGATTTAGTCCATCACTATGGCTTCCACCAACTTACTCCTCACCAAACCCCCAAAGACTCCGAGGGAACTCATGGGGAGGGGCGCTGTCCTGGCCAGGAGTCTCCCCGTCGGGGGCCCTGCAGTGCGTATGAAGGTCTGGAGTCCCCAGCTGCCTATAGTAATAGGGAAGGTGGCTCCTTCTCCCTTCCTCCCTCCTTCTCTCCCTCTTCCCTCTGCAGGGATAAAAAGTGTGACCCACTGTGGCACAGTGGCTGCTCCGGAGGCTGCTGGAACGTGACTTCTGTCTGGTCCAGTGCTTTGTGTAAGGGGTCACATCTCCGAGGAACCCATCTCCTATGGTGGAGAAGGTGTCTGAGGGTCTGGACATTGGCAAGTAGCTGGGGGTCCAGGTAGTGTCCACCACGGGCACTGCTGAGAGCAAGACCACAAGGACCGCAGGATAGGACACGTGGATTGCCCTTCTCTGTGGGCCTGTGGCTGGGCGTCCTTCGTTGTCAGAGCGTCTGGGGGCCTGCTTCCTCAGGGAGGCTCTAGGAACACCTGCTGGGGGTTCCAGGAGACCCCAAAAAGAAGGAATTTGACTGTAGTTGAGCGTCTAGCCTTTGCCCTACATGGTGGTATCTTCAGTGTTCTCCAGGTCTCTGGGACTCCCTTCTGGCCCTGGCCCCCAGCAGTCTCCATCCTTGCCTCTAGCACCCTGTCAACTACTAACTTTCCTTACTTTCAGGCCGAGGTGACTGGCAGAGACAGCCCCAGGGCATAGGAGTGGGAGGGATGTCCTTCCCATCCACACCTCTTTTCTTCTGGTGGCCCTGCGCCAGGGCCTGTGTTTATGAAGAAGTCAGACTTCCTGCCCCTGGGCCTCCTGGGCCTGTTCACACCCCATAATCTTCAAAGCCAGAAATAATCTGCTGATGCAGAGGAGTCTCCAGGGAGAGGCTGCAAAACAAACCAGTAAAGCGGCTTTCCTGAGTCTGTGGCTGAAGGCTCCTTCTCAGTCTCACTGGCACTGGGGTATGTGTGCTGGCCAATGTGTCCTCCGTGCGGCACAGGCTAGGGGAGAGCTGGTTGTAGGGTTCAGCTGTAATTTGGTTTTGGCTTGAATTCTATTCCTCATTGTGAATTATCTGAGTGATCTTGGGCAAATCCCTTTCTCTTTTTGGGCCTCAGTTTCTCCTTCTGTGATGGGAAAATATCGGCTTCAACTGGTAGTTTGCAAACTCTAGTTCAACAGCGAAACCCTTCCATAACACACTCTACAGTGTGGACTGAAATAATGGACTCTGAGACAAACACAGTCAAGTCTAGAAAGGTCCAGGTGAGCACCTGAGGGCAGGTAAGAGGAGGGTTGGTGCCAGGGCCTCAGAAGGCCAGTATCGGGGCTGTAACAGTGGTACAGCGTCCAAAGCCTCCTCCAACCTCTTTCCTATTTAGTCTCCATGAGAGTCCACATACAGCAGGAATGCTCATTCTCATTTTACAGGTGGGAAATGGAAGTGCAGAGAGGTCGGGCGATTTGCTCCAGTCACACAGGCAGTAAACAGGACTCGAGTCTCCTAGATCCTGCCCCAGACCTGCACTGAGTTTCAAGGTGGCCTTGAAGAAACAGGGAAGGGCATCTTCTGCAAGGGCTGCCTGTTGACTTGCTGGGTGAGCATTGATGCAGCTCGGCTGCTGAGTGTTTTGAAGTATTTCCCTATGGGGGTGGGTAGGAGGACCATGCACCGTGTCCTTTCTCACCCAAGCTGCCTCACACAGCAAGAGAGACAACCTGCCATGAGCTCCAATATAGCCCAGGACACTCGGCTGGGCGCTGTGGCTCATGCCTCTAATCCCAGCACTTGGGAAGGTTGAGGTGGGTGGATCACCTGAAGTCAGGAGTTCGAGACCAGCCTGACCAACATGGTGACACCCTGTCTCTTGAAAAATACAAAAAGGATTAGCCGGGCATGATGGCAGGTGCCTGTAATCCCAGCTTGTCAGGAAGCTGAGGCAGGAGAATCACTTGAAGTTGCAAGGTAGAGGTTGCAGTGAGCTGAGATTGTCATTGCACTCCAGCCGGGAAGACAGAGCAAGACTCTGTCTCAAAAAACAAGCAAGCACACAAAAAAGCCCAGGACACCCAACGCCACGGTGTCCATGCGGGGTTGGTGGCTGAACCCTGAGATTCCTCTGTTATATAGCGCCCCTCCAACTGCCCACTGGAATGAGCCCATGCCATGTAGGAAGATCCTTCCAGTGTGAGCCCTCAGACACTTCCCAAGTGACACCATAGATAGTCCCCAGGATTCAAATCCTGGCCCAGGGCCAGATACTTAACGTCTGTGGGCCTCACCTTTGTCTCACGTAAAATGGGAGTGATTGCCTTTCCTGCCCACTTGGCTGTTGTGAAGCTTCAATGTGATCATTAGGTCATCAAAAGAGGTTTGTCAATTTTCAAGTGCTATGAAAAATAAGAGGTGGTTATTCCGAGATTGAAAATTCAGTAACAACAGGGTAGTGGTGTAACTGTGGCTCTCGGGGCACTCCAAAGAACAGTTTGGTGGGAGGCAAGTGGGGAGATTAATCGCAGGGACTATACACTGATTGGCCCAAAGGGGGCACCAGTGAGCAGGAAAAGTGCCGCGCTGGAGATTCGGGTCCATGAATACAAATTGTCCAACACATTATTCTGCCCATGCCAGCCCTGAGAACATGTTCGGGAACCTCGGAAAGGGCGAGCAACTGACCCAGTGGAAATTCTGCTTGTTTGTCCAGCCACGTGGGGACTGTCTCTGCCTGTGAGTGACAGTCCGGTGACTCTAATGGCTGCTTGAAGCTTGGGGGTGTCCACTCACAGGGATTTGCTTTGTGACTGTTACTCAAGTGAGCCCGTGCCTCACACATTGGACACTCCATGCCTTACCTGGAGTTAACACCCTGGATTCGTGGGCCCTATTGTCCTTGTCAGCTCCAGAGCAGACCTGAGGGCCAGTCTCGTAGCCTTCTTTAAACTGTCTGGGAGGCCCCAGCGGGTGTTTCATATGTGGATGGAACAAGTTCACGGTCCCCTTCCTCTCTGCCTATGACACCTGCAATGTGCAGACCTCTGAAGGAGGCACATTCTCCTTCTCAGCTACGCCTGGGGAGGCTGGTTCTGCTTGGATTGTGGCTCTCTTGCCCGGAGTACTGATTCCTGGAGTCCCAAGGCTGCCAAATCCACAAGATGTGAGAAGGCTCATTTCCTAGTTTCGGTACTCACTGCATTTGAGCCCTGTTTTGTGCCCTGCAAAAAGGGCGATAAGAAATTCTCTTCCGGCTGGGCCCTGCGGCTCATACTTATAATCCCAGCACTTTGGGAGGCCGAGGCAGGAGAACTGCTGGAGTCCAGGTGTTCGAGACCAGCCTCTGTGAAAAATTAAAAAATTAGAGTGTGGTGGTGCATGCCTGTAGTCCTAGCTACTGGGGAAGCTGAGGTGGGAGATCATTGAGCCCAGGAGGTTGAGGCTGCAGTGAGCCAAGATGGCGCCACTGCACTCCAGTCTGCGTGACAGAGTGAAACCGTGTCTCAAACGAAAACAAAACAAAACAAACAAACAAAACAAAACAAAACAAAACACCTCTCTCCAAACTCTGGGTCTTGTTTTATTGGCTGGACCCTGCAGCAGAGCTGTGTGCCCCAGCACCGCTCTTTTATTATTATTATTTTTAGTTTTTTTTTTTTTTTTTGAGACAGCAGCTTGCTCTGTCTCCTAGGGTGGTGTGCAGTGGCATCATCTCGGCTCACTGCAACCTCCCCCCTCCAGGTTCAAGCTATTCTCCTGCCTCAGCCTCCCGAGTAGCTGGGACTACAGGTGCATGCCACTATGCCCAGATAATTTTTGTGTGTGTGTATATATATATAAATATATATATATATATATATAGAGACACATTTAGTGGTGCTGGGGCAGGGGGAATTCACCATGTTGGCCAGACTAGTCTCTACCTCCTAACCTCAGGTGATCGGCCCACCTTGGCCTCAGAAAGTGCTGGGATTACAGGTGTGAACCACCACACCCGGCCCCAGCATCACCCTTAAAACTCTTGAAAACAGTTACTTCGGCTGTACATTACACATTTTCCCCCCTATAATAGAAGCTCAAAAGTAGTCCTTGTGTGGACACTGTGTCACCTGCCACTGCACACACTTCCAGGTGTCTGAGCAAAAATCTCCCCCATCCTACTTTGAGGCCCCAATCCTCATGCATATCAATTTATGCAAATCAGAACTCATAGTTCCCACGTGGTTGGTTTCCCACAGGCTCCTCCAGGAACACCCTACTATTTAGCAAAGGAAGGCAGCACTAGCATTGGAACTTCAGACTCCAATGACATAAATTCTGGGTACATGGTGGCTCTTGAACCACTCTACACAGACAGTAGAGCACATGAGTCATCACCTGCCCTGTACAGGCACTGGGCCCTGAACACAGGGTCTTGACTCTCAAGCTCTAGCCACAGATGATTGGGCTCTGGGTTGGTTGAGGGGCTAAGAGATAGGATGGGGCTTCCTCGCATTTCATCTGGTTGGACAGTAGGTTACTTTGTTTGTCCTTTGAGCTTCTTGAGAGAAGAATGCTAACCAGGTCCCTCACCTGACACAGGTGTGAAAGAACCGGTCCAGCTCATTCCCTTCTGCTACCTACAGATGTCCCTGGTCTCATGGCTGATGACGGCCTAGAAGTCATGGTTTGATCTCGTCAGGCAGGGATCACAGGGTTTCCTCAGTTCAGCTTCACAAACTTTCTGAACCAAACAAAGAGAAGCAAACTTCTTTTATTTCAAGGGACCTTGACAAGTGGGGATTATGGGAACTACAATTCAAAATAAGATTTGGGTGGGAACACAAAGCGAAACCATATTTAGTGCTCTCTTGGGATAAGAGAGTCTGGAAAGAATCAGGAAAAGCAAGATAAGATATGATTGATTTGTCTTTTAGATTTAAATACACATCAAAGTGACAACTCTGTGCCATGCAAACATGTCTCTTCAAGTCATTCTCTATCTTGGACTCCTAAAGTGCTTGTATTACAAGTGTGAGCCACTGCACCTGGGGTTGGCTTCTTTCATTCAAGATAATATTTTTTGAGATTTGCCCATGTTGTACGTATAAATATGAATATACTACACTTTGTTTATCTATTATTCTGCCCATATACATTTGGGTTATCTTAAGTGTTGACCTGCTGTGAATCAAGCTGCTGAGGACATTCTTGTAAAAGCTTTTTTGGATGAGTATACACATTCATTTCTCTTGCACATATACTAAGGATGAGGAATTATTGGGACATGGGTTAGATGTATATTTAACTTTATAAGAAACTGGCAAATGGTTTCCAATTGCATACAGTTTTTTATTGGCCATGCCAAGTGTTGGAAACCATATGAAGAAACTATAACTCTTTATTGTGGGTGCAATGTCAAATGCAAAATCATTTTGGAGAATAGTTTGGCAGTTGTTTAAACATTTAAACATATGTCTACCATAGAACCCAACCATTCCACTCCTCGGTATTTGCTCAAGAGAAATAAGATGGCACCATATATCCACACAAAAACTTCTGCATGAATGTCCATAGCAGCCATGTTGGTATCAGGCAAAAATTTAAAACAGTCTAAATGTCCATCAACAGGTGAGTGAATAAACAAACTCTGGTGTACCCATTCGAGGGAATGCTGTTCAGCAATCAAAAAGATCTAACGATGCATGCAACAACCTGGATAAATCACAAGATAATTATGCTGAATAAAACCAGACAAAGGTGAGTAAATGCTTTTGATTCAATTTATGTAAAATTCTAAAAAATGCAGAACAGAGTGATCAATAATGACACAAAGCAGGTAAGTGTATGAAAATGGAAGATGGGGAGAGGAGCCAAGATGGCCGTTTAGGAACAGCTCAGGATTGCAGCTCCCAGTGAAAGCACAGAGGGTGAGTGGATGCCGCATTTTTATTGCCCATAGACTAGGAAATTCCCAGGCGGAGGTGCTCCACGGTCGCCAGCACGGCTGTTTCGGCCAGCGCGGCTGTGCTGGCCGGCGCCGCTGCTTTGCCCCCCGCGGCTGCTTTGTTGGTGCCCCGAAGCCGCGGTTCTCCGTACAAAATACGCCGGTCCGGGGGCCCTTTTGGCTGGCGATTGGAGCCACGGGAAGTCGCCCATTCGTCTGTTTAAAAAGGGGACTGAGCAGAGAACCAGGACAGTAGATTCCAGGGCAAAAAAAAAAAAAAGCGCCACAAACCTCAGTGCCGCTGTTTAAGCCAGCGCAGAGAGTGGCCGCAGGGGAAAACAAACAGACCCCGGCGCCTCTTCAACAGGCGACTGGAACACAAACTTAAAAAAGGCTCTAAGGCGGAGAGCCAGGCGATCAGGTTCGGCTGGCCCCACCCCCACAAACAAACAGCAATCAGAAACTCTGGATTGAGACTTTCACAGCAAGCACAGCTGAACCCGGGACAGTCCAGCTCTGTGGGGGAGGGGTGTCTGCCATTACCGAGGCAGCCTGCCAGGACGGAGGTAGTCGGCCATTGCCGAGGCAGCCCGCCGTTGCCAAGGCAACCCACCACAGCAGAGAGACTCCGCCCCAACAGAGGCGGGCCACCATTGCCAAAGCAGTTCTAACTACACCCATATAAACAGGACTGCAGGGAAGTTCACTCGGCAGCGGGGCGGAGCCCACAGCAGCTCAGCAAAGCCTATACAGGCAGACAGTGACTAGGCTGCCTCCTTGCTGGGCTGGGCAGGTCTGAAGGAAAAAAAAAGGCGGCAGCATAACGGAAACTCATAAATAAAACCCTAAATCTCTGGGACAGAGCACCTGGGAACAAAAAGCAGTTTATGAGTTCTGCTGTAGCAGACCAAACGTACCTGCCCAGCATCTCTGAATGAACAACAACAGAGCTCACAGCTCACCATTTGAGCTCCTATAAAGAAGAGACCGTCTCCTCAAGCAGCTCCCTGACCCCTATATATCCAAAGAGACACCTCATAAAAGAGAGATCAGATTGACACTAGGCGGGTATCCTTCTGGGACAAAGATAGCAGAAAAAGAAAACTGGTAACAACCCTTACTGTTCAGCAGCTGCTGCAGGTGAACCCCAGGCAAGCAGGGCCTGGAGTGAACCTCAGCAGACCTACAGCAGAGGGGCCAGACTGTCAGAAAGAAAACCAAGAAACAGAAATAACCTCATCATCAACAAACAGAACGTCAATCTGAATGATTTGAGACCCAATCTGAAAGCCAGCAACTACAAAGTCGACAGGTGGATAAATCCTTAAAGATGGGAAGAAACCAGCGCAAAAAGGATGAAAACACCCGAAGCCAAAACACCTCTCCTCCTACAAGGGATCACAACTCCTCACCAGCAAGGGAACAAGGTTGGAGGGAGAACGAGTGTGATGAAATGACAGAATCAGACTTCAG